ACGACTGTGGCCAATAGCAAGGATACAAGCGGCAACTCGAGCAGGAACATTTCCCCTGACGGCACCAAGCGGCAGAACCAGCGGCCAAAGCACCGCATTGAGACTCAGCCCTTGCGCGACCGCGAAGCTGAGCGCGAGATGCGGAAACAGGCTCACGGCAGCAGACACGCTCCCCGCCCGACTCCACCAAGGCAGCTGCAGGCCGCAGCTCCACCTCCCAGCGACCCTCAGCCGACTATTACTCCAGTGCCAGCTCCCACGCCACCTGCTCCTGCTCCCACCGCCGAAGCTGCCCCTGATAGCACCAAGCCGCAGGTGGACCGCATGGCTGAGGCTCGCCGCGCGCTTCTGGGCCACTACAACGTTCCCAACCCAGAACTGCCCGTCGGCAGAAGCATCCCGCGAAGCGGCAGCGCAACCACTACCTCGTTTGTTAGGACATCGAGCGTCAAGGTCCTGCAGCCGCCCTCATTTGCTCGCCCCAAGCAACGTCCAGCAGCGAGCAATCCGCAGCTAAACATTAGGTCGGCGGTGCCAGAGCGCAAGCCGGTGGAGCGGAAGCCTCAGTCAGAGACAGTAGCCTACTCGAGCCAGCCTCCTCCTCCGCGCCAAGTCTCTGCGACAACTAAGGGAAGCGGCAGTATGGACTCGATCTCTACATTTGACGTGCCAGCAAAGGCCGCGCAAGATGATGACGACAACAGCGATGGCGATGACGTTCCTCTCTCGGCCTTTACCCGCTCAAGGTCCGAGCCCATGTCCAACTTGCCGCGCCGCTCAACCGACGACTATCTCTCTCGACTGGCGACCTTTAGCAGCAACTACGATTCTGACAGCAACAAGAAAGACGCAGCCAAGAGTGCCAATCCTCGTCGCTTCTTTGGTCGCAACCAGGCCGACATTGCAGGAAACCCTATTGCTCGCAGCAATACGCAGTCATCGGCTCCAGCACCCAAGGTTGAAGAGCATGTAGCCAAGTTTGAGCAGATGCGCTCGCTGTCCATGGATGTCGCGCCACGTCAAGCAACTGAAAAGCGGCGTTTTGGCCGCTGGGGCAACTTTTTCTAAATCACTCACTAATACATGGCCTATAGCTCGTGGAGCAAAAGAAAGACATTTTTCGCCCATGCTGCTATAAGCGCATTTGATTTCCTCTCCTACATCGCCAAGTGAGAAAAAAAGCATTCGCATTGATGAAAGCGAGAAAAAAGGGTGTATTTGGTCGCTTGACCAAAAAATTATTTTTACTATAGATGATAAGAAAATAATTCTGTGCCAGCTCCGTTTTGATCATAATTGCTGTTATGCTATTTCATTGCATTGGTAAAACAAAGGCAAATACTATCAAAATGAGTTTGTATGACCTGTTTTATGCATTGCAAGCCTTAACATGTGGTTCAATTTGTTCGACTCTATCCAGCTTTACGCCGCAGTTTTTGCAAACAAATTTTATCTTGGCTTCCATGCGTGGATTCTCGTAAGGGTGATTCATTATAGAAAAGGAATTTAGAGGTGACGGTAATTGTGTTTGGCAGTTTTTTACAACAGTAGCGTCGCCCTTTATATTAATTTCAATAAAACCAATAGATAAAAATCATACTTTCGTTTGGTTTCAGAAAAGGTGCGTAAATGATACACATCAATGCTGGAGTGGTATCTTACAACCAGTAGTCTGCAATCTCATATTGTCTGTGACCATTTCCTGACTCGCTAATCAAAACCTTACTCTATTAACTGGAACTTTGGGCTGCAAGTAATTAAGTGATGCAAGCAAGTTACTTTGTCTTTAAACTTGTGTCCACAGTTGTTGCTGTAGTATATAAAAAAGTACAATAATTTTTTTATAAAAAAAAAAAAGCGCGAGAAATGTCATTCTGACAGAGCTGGGCTGGCCTTGCAAGTTGGTCTTGGAATGAAGAAATTCAAAGGTCTATGAATTAGCTCAGAAAATGGTCAGATGGTCGAGTGGTCTAAGACGCAGCGTTTAGGCCGCTGTCTCTCCGGAGGCGTGGGTTCGAGTCCCACTCTGATCAGCTTTTTTTTGCCTTTTTTTGCGCCTATATTTTTTGTATTAATGAAATACTTGTAAATAACATATATACATCGATACAATTAGAGCTAGTAGCAAAAGTGGTCTCTTCTAGAAATCGCTCCAGATTTGGTAACTTTTCTGCTCCTCGTTATTACCACTACATAAGGGCTCATGCCTGCCCTGCACCTCCAGACAATAAAATAATACTTCCCAAAACTCGTGTC